CATCAAATTTGAGGTATAGCCATTTTATATAAGTCTAAAATTTTGTGGCAAATTTCATAAAAATCGGACGACTATATCATATAGGTGCCATACAAACGATCGTTTGATGTAGAGGAAAAATGCAAATCTGTGAATGTAAAACTGCAAATATAATATGTATAGGTGAATGAAATGAAAGCAGGTATTACTTCATTGTTTTTTAACACAAATATATATAATTTATATTGTATGGATTCCTATTCATAGAAGTTCTATCTGCAAGGGTATATAAACTTCGGCGTGCCGAAGTTAGCTTCCTTTCTTGTTTATTATTGCATTTTCATTGATAAATGCCTGCTGCAGAATGCATGTTGCATGGCCCTGAGACTCTGTTGCTCCATTTGGTTATTTTGGTTGCTTGTTTTAAATGTATTTTTTCACCAACTTAATGCGATAAATATTTATTTTTGCAACATTTCATGCAGATAATTTATCAATTGAACGTTGACTTTTCCAAGGCCTAATAAATCTTCGCAGGGAAAACAAAAAAGTGAGCATAAAAAAGTGCCACAAAAAGACGAAATGTTTGCATTTGCGGTCTAAGTTTGCTTTAGCCCCAAAAATGGCCGAATGCATACTGTAACGTACTGCCTCCTCATCAATATTGATTGCCTGCTGACCCCTCCTGCCTCGTCCTGCCTGCCCCGTCCAGTTTCGTGGCGTTCTACAATTTAGACGCTCAAAATCTGTTATGCCACAAATCCCCAGCAGCGGCTGTCAAAACTCGAATGCAGGTGGCGAGGTGACACCTCCACTGGCGAGGCTATAGCGATAGCTCCATATGAGAACCACACACCACATGCAATCAGGGCCGATCATAAATACTTCATTACCTTTTCCAGGGCAAATGGAGGTGGCACTGGCACATTAGCGCTGCCTCAACATGTCCCTCCGCTGGCTGAACATTTCAAATGCGTTTTTCCACCTGGCCGAAACGTGCTGCCAGCTAAAATAATCACAACTCAGATTGGTTTGCCAAATTGCTATTTATTAAAAATCAATGCTCCTGCTCCTGCTGCTTCTGGCCACGAACCAATGGCCAACAACGATAACGGACAAGGGACAACGGCAAATCAGCAATTTCAGCAGCCTTAACAGCGTGTCCAACACCCTTCCATGTCATGTGTCCCCCGGGCACAACCACCTCGGCTCTTCTCCCATAGTCTTCGTCCATAAATGTGCACGGAGAGAAAAATATTTGCGAAACCGAAAGTGATACAAAAAGAAAGCAGAACAAATTTGAACACAAATTGTTAGATTAATAAAAATATTTATGAAAAATATTTAAGAGATCCTTAGGTTTTGCTTTTAACAATTTCATTACGAATATTTTTATTTTTAGTTTTTATATGTTTAATTTTATTATATTGATTGAATTTGTAACATCTTGAAGAAGATTAAATGTTCTAGACAAGTCTAGATTCCGTAATTCTGATTTAATTAATATTAATTTCAAACATTATTATTACCTTTTGTTATTGCAATCTTAATTGAATTTCTAGAAGTCTAAAAGGTGTTTCTAATTTATTGAATGATATTTTCAATTTGTTTAGCTTTTATTATGACAATCTCATTGAAAATAGTAAATAACAAGAAAGGAAGCTAACTTCGGCACGCCGAAGTTTATATACCCTTGCAGATAGAACTTCTATGAATAAAAAACCATACAATACAAATTATATATCTTTGTGTTAAAAAACAATGAAGTAATATCTGCTTTCATTTCATTCGCCTATACATATTATATTTGCAGTTTTACATTCACTGATTTGCATTTATGATATAGTCGTCCGATTTTCATGAAATTTACCACTTAATTTACCATTTAAGACTTAAATTAAATGCCTATACCTAAAATTTGATGAAAATCAGTTGAAAACTGAAAAGGTTATAAATTTAATTGTATTAATTTCTCGATCGTTCCTATGGGAGCTATATGATATAGTAGTCCGATTTTCATAAAATTTTATGCAAAATTGTAGAGTATAGTGAAATGGCTATATCTCAAATTCGATTCAATTCTATTGAAAACTGAAAAAGTTAAAATTTTTTTTGTAAAAATTTTCCGATCATTCCTATGGCAGCTATATGATATAGTCGTCCGATCCGGCCCGTTCCGACATATATACGAGTGAGAGTATATAGAAGGCTAACTACAAAGTTTCATTCAGATAGCATCAAAACTGAGAGACTAATTTGCGTAGAAACGGACAGACGGACAGACGGACAGAAGGACAGACGGACAGACGGACATGGCTAGATCGACTCGGCTGTTGATCCTGATCAAGAAAATATATACTTTATATAGTCGGAGGTGCCTCCTTCACTGCGTTGCAAACTTCTGACTGAAATTATAATACCCTTCAAGGGTATAAAAAACATTTTAGGAGCTAAAATAAATGTATTCACTACAGTTGAATATATTTTTGATTTAATTAATATTATTTTTATTTTTTCGTAGCCTCTCTTATGACAATTGCTTTGCATTTATTGGGACAATTTTAGTGCATATCTAAAATGGGAAAGAAATGTAAATATTTTAAAAGCTGAAATTTTGTTATTCGTCTGCAGTTTTGCTATATTTGTTTCAATTATTATTATTTTTTTATGATTTTCTAGTTCTTGTTATGACAAGTTAATTGAATGCCTACAAATTTAAGAGAATAGCAAATATTCTGCTTTAGTTTTGTTATTTATATTTGAAATAATAAAGTTTTTCTATTTGTTTAGCTTTTATTGTGACAATTTTAATACATTTATAGTTGAAAAAAAAATTAAAGAAGAGTGAACATTTTAAGAGTGCAAAAAAAGATATTTTAGTGGATTTTTGCTATTTTTAAATTAATTAATATTTCGTTTAATTAGTTTATGCTTTATTATAACAATTTCAGTATTATTTTTATTTCGAATTTTATTTTTAATTTGGTTAAGCTTTTATTATGACATTTTTATTAAATTTATGTAGAAACATTGGGATACTCTTCTTCCATATTAGGATCCAATTTCCATATAATTACTTAATGGTAAGTTTAATCAAATAATTTTCCTACAATATTCTCATAAATATTATAAAACTCCATCCCAATTTTGAACAGTGTCCGTGTAAACGTTACACAGCACACCCAACACTGGACAACAAAATCGCTGGCTGGGTGTGGGGCCTTGGCCTGCTAATTGAAATCCCATTTGAGGCGGTCAGACCAATGCAATCCTTGACCGCGCTGGCCAGTGTAAGCAGATGCCAGGGTCCAGACATATGCCAGGATGTGTGAATTTGGGGGCGGAGTGGGCGTGCGACGGCAGGACCTGCTCCAAGCAGCTGCCACTGCTGTCGCTGCTGGTTTTCAGGCGACATTTCCGGGCAGTCCGAAGTAATTGCTCGGCAAGCTGTTGCCGCTGACAGCAGGAGGATGGTGTGGCGGAGGTGGGGGTGGTGTGTGTATTCACAGACAGGGTACCCTGTGGGTGTGTGTGTGTGGCAGCTTGGTCACCCGGGGACACTGGTGTAGTGGTCAGCTTAGCCGGCAAGCGGCTTACGTTAGGCATTTCGGTGCGGTGGCCACGCGGCGTATGAGGAATGTCAAGTGAATGCGATGCCGGAAGCAGCCGCATTTACCGGGTCTTAAAGTTGGGATCAACAGGGGGGGAGGGGGTTAGGTACCGATGAAGGCTTCTCCTTCACAGGAGCACAAATCGAATTCGGATGCACCGCGTCCTGTACAGGAAAATCTCTGCCTGCTGCACTGCAGCTACGTGACTTTTTTGGGGGGCGATTTTTTATATCGAACGAGAGCACGTGGGACTTTCGCTTACTCAGAGCGGAGCTTACAGCGAGTGCAGCTGCCATAGCCTCCGCCATATCCTTTCTACACCCCCCCCCCCATATCCTTTCGCATCCGGCTGTATCCGTTGCCGTGGCCGTATCCGTAAACATATCCGGGACTTTGCCTGGCCGCGCTTTGCATATTAACTAAGTGAAACATTTCGTTGACAACTTTTCAAACATTCGTGTGTAAATGTTTACCGCCGAAGCTGGCTTTGGGATTGGGAGCTCTTCGTTCGCCCCCCCAAGGCCTCGAGACATTTAAAATTGAAATTTAAATTCGATACATAAACTGAGGAAATAGCCCAAGAAAAGGAGAGAAAATAAAAAAGGGACTCGGCCGACACATCCTTTTGACCGTGCAGCTTAACATATCGCTCCCAGACTCTATGCTACTCTTTTGGCAATTTGAAATACAAATTTTACACCCTGCCTCTGGAATCCAATGAGCCAAGGCCAATAAGTCTGTCTCCCCCGGGTTTTCCTTTCTTTAACATTTTTTTTCTCAACATTTCTGTTGGGTTTTAGGTTTGGTTTAGCCCCTCTAGCCCTTTTAACAGGCTGTCTGGGGATCCACAGGATTTGTGGTACCCTCTATCCATACACACACAGCACACACACCCTCCGTATTTATTAAATATTGAATGTTTTCCTTTGCTAGATGACTACGCCGCTGGCTGGCAAAAAATGGAGGGAAAAAGACTTTCATCCTTTTGTGCCCGCAGAGTAACAGCCCCCAAAAAAGGGGCTAAAAACTCAAAGCTAAACTTTTCGGGGGAGTTTCTGGGATTGACCCAAGGCTAATACGAGGAGAATATGCAAAGTTGGCCAGGGATAGACATATCAATATGCTATTTATATTGAAAGGGAACAATAATGGAGATATCACAGTATTCGGGTGATTACTCGGTGAAAGACTCCTCATGGGGATTTTAGTTTTAGCTATTTGTGAATTATTAATCTCTGGAAATAGTTGTTTTCGTTTAATAAATATACAGACAAAATGGAATAGTTAAAGTTGTTTCAAAGAACTTTAATGAAATTGATAGTTTTATTGTTTATTTTACTAGATAACCATGTTAGTTGATTTAAGTTCAGTACTAACCAGTTTATGTCAGCAGCATCTAATTTAAATTCCCTAAAATCCCCATATCTCTATGGTGGAGTTGATGCCGCGGTTTACTTGGCCACTAAGGTTAATGGTGACTTCGCTGGCACCCACACCGCCTCTTAAGAAACTGGGTGCAGCTCCAGAACTATTCACAAAGTGGTCATAAACATTAATAGCTGAGATGGTGAAGTTGTTGATAGAGCCCTTAATAGTTTTATATAAAAATTAGATTAAAAATCAAGGCAGTAATTTACCCAACTTACCTCGCATGGAAACTCCACTTTCACATTCCAGTATTTGTTATCAAGAGGGTGGCGGATCTCCGTTCGACGAAACAGAATAAGATCATGGGCAAAGGGTTCTCCGAATTTGGTGCTATAAGCCAGACTGGTGACAATCACACTCAAGATGGTGGACAAGATCAGGATACTGTGCATGTTGCTTACTTCGTTGTTGATACTTTTAGTATCATCTCTCACTCGCTCGCCTTTTATAGTCACAACCAATCGGTTTTTTAATTAAGTTGTGTTTACCTGTAACGTGGCTTATCACAGGTGCCAGAACTGGGATGAGTCTGGCTAAAAAAGTAAAAAAACTGGTAAGAAAAACAATGTAAAAGAATCAGACATTCCAAATGATAGGAAAATGTTTAAGTCTTCTGATAAGTCAAAGTCTGGAATGCAGGCAGTTAAAAAAGAAGGCGTCATTTGGTTCATTTATTATTAAATATTTATAATTAAACTTTTACTTGATTAACTTAAATCAGTTTTTGCTTAGATTTCTTTCAATAATTCAGAAATTTTTAATAGGTTAGAATTCAACTTAAGATCTAATAGACTAAAAGGTATAAAAATGCCAAAATTGCACACTACTATTTTTCAAACCCCTAAAAACTTATCTAAAAATTGTACTTTATAAATAAAAATACATTTTCTGTCAGTTTTTTATAAATTTTTTAATTTGGACACAAATTTAAGCGTTTTTAAACTTCAAGTGATTTTTAGATAATCTTAGTTTCATTATAAAATATTTATATATACACATGTACCTAATACCCTAAACATAATATCCTAAATACACAGATAATAATTGTTTAATAAAAACCTCATTTATAAATCACATATTCAAAAGTATGAACATGTAGATTCTGATTAAAGAACTGTAAACAAAACACGATCGTTAAATATTGTTTGTAAATGCAATCCCAAGTCCAAATTCTATTTTAGAAATTTAATTTTAATTAGCACGGTAATAGTTCGATACGAATGAACAAGTTCCAGGGTTATTAACAGAGGTAAATCTAAATGTGTTTTGTATTACAAACGGAAATATTGTTTTAAATGGGTTTTTAAATTATAAATCGAATCAGTTCTCGTATATTAATCAATACAAAATGATGGTCCGCTTGCTCGTAGTCTGTTTTCTGGCTGGACTCTTGTTTAGCGGGGTAGAAACTCTTTAAAAACCCAAAGAACACGTTAATAATGTTAACTGAATTTCAGGCAAAATCTCTTGTGGAGTTTTCAAATTTGAAATGTGAATCTACGGATAAGGATTTCGCCGAGTTTGAGTGTTGTGCTCTTAAATCCGTGAATCGGACCTTCAAATACGTTACCATTAAAGTGAGACTCTTTAAGGTTCCGGTTACCAACGTTAAGGTATTTTACACAACTTTATATTTAGCTTTTTTATTTAGATTTTTCCTTTTTATTTAGGTTAACCTTGCCTTGTATCAGCGACTGAATGGGTTAAAGCCCTTCCTGTACAATATCACAGTCGACGGGTGTAAATTTGTAAAAAATCCGAGATCCAACCAGGTTGCAAGTTACTTTTATGATTTCTTTAAAAATCATTCCAACCTGAATCACCCTTGTCCCTACGATGTGAGTAATATATATTTTTAAGTCCTTTAAACAATCTCTAACAGAACTGTTTTAGCATGATCTGTTTGTGGATAAAATGTCTACTCAGTTTGTAGATCAACGTGTAACCAAAACTTTGCCCTTTCCCAAGGGTAGGTACATGTTCAAAACCGATTGGTATGTCAATAGTATCAAGCGAGCTGCGGTCAACATTTATTTAACTCTTTCATAAATAGATTTCGATTGTTTTAAGATACTTATTCAACTTACATCACAGTCCGTGCTCGGTAATTTAATATTAAGTTTAATAATAAATAATAATTAATAAATATATAAAGTACATACACGTATCACACATACAGTATGGAAAAAAATAATAGAAACACACAACTAGATCCACTTGGGGCTCAATTCTTAATTCCCCACATATTATATATTTTAGACAAATGTATTCTTTTTACATTCTGCATTAAAAAAATAATGCAAATGATTAATAAAATTATTATGAGCGACATTCTACAAATAAGTTATTATTTGTTTTTTAGTTTCATTCTATATTAAAAATTTTGTAAAAGATTTATTATTATATTATATCATTAAAATTTATGATAGATGAGTTGTTTTGCCTAAAATTATAAAAATAATTTCATATAAAACGACTTTCCTAACTTAAGTTTCGCGGAAAGTAAACTATAGAGCTTAAAACACAAACCTGTTGATTTTTTCTATTAATATTGCCAATTTTATGAAATCTTTCTTATTTGCAAAATTCCCCAATATACATCTTTATGCCTGAGCTTTATTATATAGGCTATTCTCTAAATATATGTAGGTTAATATGTATCTGTATTTGGGAGTTGTTATTCAAGTCATAGTTTATTTTAAGAGTATCTTTCCTGCTTTAATTTCATTTTTTGTAAAATAATAAATAAATAATAATATTCATTCCTATTCTGCCCTAATTACATCTCTGGCACTTGAAAGTAAATATTATTTACACAAAAACCTCCCTCAGGGTACTGCTAAAACAAAGCTTAGTTCGCTTTGGCTTGTACATTGGAGGCAAAGCGAAGAAGAGATCGAGGGAGAGATTAAAAGAGAGATGGAGACAGAAATATCGATAGAGAAAATATGACACATAATACAAAGTGCATAACAACATAAGAGAGAAACCAAGTTTCGTACTTAAAGTGAGACTTTAGTTCCGATTTCGTTTTCAGGTATTTTACAGAAATGGGATCCTCTCTTGCTGAATAAAATGAAATAAAAAATCCATTTCTGTTTACTATTCCATTTGATATCTTAGCTGATTTTATTCGGTTATTTGCATATTCCCAACTATAGACTTATCGTCCCCAGATCTCGACGGTGGAGTCAATGCCGCGGCCAACTTGGCCGCGCAGGTTGATGGTGGCGAAGCGGTAGCCAGGACCGCCGGACCACAGACTGGGAGCGGCGCCGGAGCTGTTCTTGAAGTTGTCGTAGACAAAGATGGCCGAGATGTTGGCGTAGTTAACAGTGCCCTGATGAAGACAGTGGTTCAATTAGTGCATTTTAATAAAGAACTTTTCGAAATAGATCAACTTACGGCACGTGGGAAAGCGACGTTCACATTCCAGTAGTTGTTCTTGATGGGATTACGGATCTCCCTCTGCTGGGAGAGCAGGTAGTCACTGCTGTTGCGACGACCCCAGCTGGAGCTGTAGGCGTGTCCGCCGAGGATCACGGCAAGGACGACGGAGAGGATCAGAAGACTGCGCATATTGAAGGTTCTGGTTCGTTTGATGTCAGCTGTGGTCTCTGCCCTCGCTTTTATAGGACGCCGCTCGCTGGGTGAGACATTGTTTACAGAAGCGTTTCGCTTTTAATTAACTTTTGTTGCCTGTAACGGGGGCTTATCGCACCTGTGGCGGGGTATCATAACTGGCAAAAAGCGCCAGCCAAATAGTGCAAAATAAAATCAAAGTAAAAGAAACCCCCCAAACGGCAATCTCATGCCGCGATAAGATTACCTGACTCACACCTGACGCCGCGGCGGTGCAAAAACAATACAGTTCCGATATTCTCTTGGCTTTGCAATCTTCCAGGAAAAGATTCTCATTTATCAGCAAAGCCCTCGCAGTACATATATTATATATATATAATTGCATATCGGAAAAAATCACCTTTAGCAGATTTCAGACAAATGATATTGGGTGTTAAGTGGAAGTGCTTCAGCTTAGGCAGAAAATGTATTTTGGCAGTATCTGAGGTGTTGCTTATCAAACTTAAAAAGAAACAAACACAGAGATTTCCCTGGAATCTGAAATGGGAATTAATTTATAGTTGAAACATTAAAAGTGTTGTGGAAATTGACAAGTTTCTTGGAATTTAATTGGTTATATTCGATTTATATATATTTGTTTCTGGTAAAGTGCTATAAAGGCAAGAAAATATATTTTAATTTGTCAAACTATCCTTGAGTTATTAGGACATGCAGAAATTCAACAGATACATTTCTTGTCTTTGAATTTTCAAGTGTCTGAAATTTAATTTAAACATATTTATGACATACTCAGTCTTTCAATAAGCCTTAATAATGGCCTCGAGGCCTTTATTTAGTAAGTCACAAACAGAAAATGTATTCAATAGTAATTAAATATGTGCAATGGACAAGTGAAATATATAAAATGCCAATAGGAGCTTAAATTAATGCTGTTTGTATCAGCTTACAAATTAAACATCATGAGATATTTATATTTTGATGCAGGCTTGATTATTCAAAAATTGATTTAGCCTAATTAAACAATTAATAACAAAAGAGTAATGACATTTATTATTTCCAATCAAATTGAATTAAACAAAAGCACATGTAAGCAGTCTATTTTGCATGTATTAAATCTTTGATTAAATTGGTTCTGCTTAAGCTTAGTTCTGATAATTTGAGAGGAGTAATTAAGCATGTTTGGTAGTTTAAAGTACATCTGCAGTTTGATGTACATATTTACCAGGGGATTAATTTACCTCTGCTCAAATACAGATCATAATCATAATTTGAGACAAGCAATTAAACATGTACATACACATATATCGCATTTCAATGGCAATTCATTGCGAAAAGTATAAGCAACGTAAGCTGCCATAAGCTGGCGAATTACAAACTATCATTTGGCATCTGGAATTGTTTGAACTGGCGGAGTTTTCATCGTTTCTAATTAAGTGCGGAGCTTATTTCCTCCATTGTCAGCTGATGAAAGCTGGTGATGATGAATTTCCCTCAGAATGCACTCCTGGAATTTAAGAGCTCACCGAAGGGGTCTTTACACATTGCCACAGGACTGTTACCATCCCTTAGTCCTTATCCTTGTGCCAGAGCTTTGGGAGGTGGAGATGGAGCTGGAAAAGGAGCTAGAGCTGTAGATCTGGTCGTATACTGCATATTTATTGCAAATTACCAGATACCCGGGAGTCACTTGGTTTGGAATAAAACCTCATTACTTGCAGCAGCCGTCGCTGATAAGGGTGGACGTATTTGTCACTTATGAAAGGATAATTCGCCACGCTCCGCAAGGATACTGAAGTAAAAAAGTCACAACACCACGCATTCGCAGTTGCTCCCCCCAAATACAAGACAAATGCCGGAGGGAATGAATGTCGGGCAAAAGTTTCACCATTATCCGATTGCAGTGCCATGTCCTGGCATTTTGTGCAGCAACTTGTTAATCACATTTTATTGACACATCCCTGGCACTCGGGGGAATCGATTTCCATTTTTAAATTGGCCAAATTAAGGGCTGATTTTGCTTTTGCTTTGGCCGGGGCCGAGGTTGAGGCCGGGGCCCTCTTTTCAGTTTCAGTTTGACTGTTACATGCGTTCGCTTGATAAGCAATTTGCAGTAGACTTACACGGACAGGCCCACATCGGATGGGGAAATCAGTTACACTTAAGGAAATAATGAAGTACGTTTTAAAATACGTTTTAAGAATTAGATTGAATATCTTATGCTCGGCTATGAATTAGAACTTGAAGGGTTGGGTCACTTTAAACTAAAAAACGAAATAAAGGATCAGTTCGAACCTCAATCATTTCTCTCTTTAGAGAGATCTTCTCTCGCACATGCTAGGTGTTTAGTAGCGAACGAGAGAGTTCTCCAGCTAAGCACTCGGAGAGAGTATTTTCTTTTTGTCCCTCTAAATTCAAATGAGCGTAATTAGAGCAGAAGGAAATGCAACCAATTTAAATATGAGAAACACTCCTTGTTATTTTTTCTTATAATTGGTGTCTGAGAAGCTCTGCTTTTAAAAGATATTTTTTTATAATATAATCTGCAATATAATTTACCCACTTAAAAATCCTTTAAATTATTTCCTGTGTAAACACCCACATGCACTTACACTCGCCAGATTCGACAATTGGCAAATTTAAAAGCAATAAACGTACAGAGAGCAAATTTCTGGGTTTATGCCTCGTTGTCGTTTTTGCCTTTTTTAACTGTTCGACAGGAAAATGGAGGGAGAGGAAGAGGGAGAGGGAGGGGAGGGAGACCCCGGGGGGCGGAAGGACGCGTGCCATGGCGTTGGTACTTTCTGGTTCCACCCCCTGGGATGTGTGTCTGGGCCTGGGATTCCATCGCAAGCTGCCAGTGCCACTCAAAATGGGGACTTCCCTTTCATTTGCGCTTTCAATGCCAATCGCTGGAGCGACATCAGCCCTCGGATCGGGCTCTCCCCGTTCTCCCTTCCAGGGGCCAGAGTTCAAGCTGCGCTTTGGAAAAATGTCAAGAGCGGAATGTGCACTTTTGACAGTTTCAGTTCATTCGAAGCTAACCCTAAATATCCCACCCCAATCCCCCCGACATCCGCACACATGGCAACCCTGACACGTACCCCTAATAAAACTTTCTCGTTTTCGGAACAGCAAGAACAAAGTCAAATATTAGGGGGAAAAGTGGAAAATGGCAACGGCAGCAGCGGCAGCGGCTGGTTTATTTTATTTTCCATGTTTTTAATGTGCTTTTTGTACTGTGGCAACACACCCCAACACTCATACCCCCGGAGGAGACCCAAAAATTCGAGTTTAGTTGCTATGCTAAGCAATGAAAAGGCGAAATATTAATCCAAACAATGGAGTCAGACTCCTCTCATTCGCATAATTTCAAGGAATTTTAAGGAATTTCAGGGAATTTCCTATATTGTAGAGCTTTTCATTCAGTATGCTCTTACTTTGAATATGTTTATTCATTTGTTTTTCTCCATTTCAAATATGCTGAGTTCGGAAACTAAATGAATACTATATTTAATATTCTATTTTTATTGTTAAAAGTACTACTACTTCTTGTTTACTAAAACATTTTGTTAATATTCATAAAATCCTCCAAGAACAATTGCTCAAATCAGTGCCACTCATGAATATTTGCTTTTAAAGTCAACAGACCGACATGCGTGCATTTAATTAAATTGCATTTATTTCAATATAATTAAATTAGTTGAAATTTTACATATAGGAAAATGTTTTGTGGGTGGGTCCTTTATCCTAGTGGCAGTTGTTAATTGTTGTTTGCTCATTGTTTGCGCAGTAGAGTTAATAAAATGTAAAATTCATTACATGTGCTTCGAATTAATATTTGTTCGTTTCAGTTGATTTGCAAGAGTGACGGGCAAAGGCGAAAAGTTTGTAGTTTTTAAACGTTTACTGTTAGTTAACTAATTATTTTCATATTGTATTTAATTTATTTGTACAGGTGAACACTTTGAAATTTTTATTTCCTCATGAGCCCAAACAATTTATTGCATATTTTTTATTTTACTACTTAGGTTAAATCAGAATCTAAGTTTTTACTTCATTGTTATAAAATTATTTAACTTGCAATAAACTTAATTTTTTTATGGAATAATTTCCCTAGCTAAATGACCGAAAGGTTTCGAAATATTTATTTGAAATTCAGGAATTTCTAGTCCCCTTAAATATTTTCTCTAAATAAGTTAAAAATACTTAGGGCTAAGAATACCTGAGCTTTTTTTTAATTTTCCGGCCACTGTGGCGAAAATGTTGCGTTGCCAGATGCAGTTTGTCGGCAAACCTCAAAGGGTTGCAACTTTTCCCCAACATTTCCTTTGCATTTGTGTGTGTACAAGTCCTTTTGGCAGGCTTTCAACGTTGTTTTTTATTATTATTTCGCTTTATTTTGTGATATGCAAAATGGTTTGTAGACCCAATGAATGTCCCCCTGCAATTGCTAATGAATTCTCTAAGCGATAACGTGGCTAAAAAGAGTTTAATGCGCCAGCAGCAACAAAGCAAAGCAAACATAATGAAAAGGGCCAAAACAAAGGGAAAAGCCACCTAAACGGAGGTAAACTTTTGGCTAAACGAATGTAGGATACTCTTGAGGATATAAAACAATTAATTCTTTTTATTCATCTCTTTTAATTAATTCAATTTATTTTAAAATAATATTATTTTAAAGGAAACATCGAATAAAACTTTTTGGAATAGTACTGTGTGAAAACTCCTAAACTTTTAAATAAAAGAAAAAACTAAAACTAAACTAAAAATTGTGCTACCTAAATTTAGATATGATATTTTCCACCAAATTGAAAGCATAACTCATTTAAAATATGACCTAATAAAAAAGAGAACAACTACATTTAGAATCTTACAAATTTGAGAGAGGTCTTTAAAGAACCTTATTAATTCATGAATCTCCCTGGGATGTTATTTTTTTACGTCAGCCTAATGTGAAATTGAATAAAATCCTTACAAAGGTGTTTAAAATAAAGATAAAAACTTTGACAATGTTAAAAAAACTTTTTTGTAC